AATAAATTATAATCTGACTCTGACTACTTTATAGACCAGATCTATGCAAATGAAAAACATTTCTGGCCTCTTACAGGGTGAAAAGGCCCAGAAGTTTCCAGGTGCAGGTCTTTGGGGGACCTTCTAATTTAGGTCTAGACCATCAGAGTGGATGGCTTCTGCATGGACTAGGGTTCCAACTCTAACCCTGAGACTTGGGAACTGAAGTTCTGCTTTCCTATTTTTGACAGGATGCAAATGGTTCATCAGTGTCCCTCTCATCCTATAATTCTTCTTCTGTCTCCTTTGCCCTTCTCATATCTTTTGTCCTTATTTTCTGCTCAGAATGGTAAAATGATATATACGCAGGGTGAGATGAAATAGGGAGGAATTTTTAAAAGCAGTTTCAGTTTTTATTCTAGGAGCAGCTTATATAGAATTACAGAGGGCTTTGGGAAGCAGCCAGCCTTAACTTTCCAGAGGCAGATAAAGGCTTGGCGAAGGACAAGATCTAATTTGTTCTTAGTAATAGAGGAAAAACTTGAATCTAGGCTTCCTGACTCCTAAGCCAGGTCTTGTTTCTATGCACCCAGTTGCCCCTTAGTCCTCTGTGTATGTGATCCTTGCTAGTAGTGGATGTTGGAGTCCTATGGCCCTTTCATTCACCTCTCAGATGTCTCAGAAAAACAGCAGACTAATTCCCTACCTGAAGTGGTTCCTGAACCTATTGTCTCATTTTACTTTAGAGCAAGTTATGACTGAACTAATGAAGTGTACTTTCAACCTGAACATATTTCTTCCATACAGCTAATTAATTCTTAAGTGTTTATTTTTATCATTTAATTTAGAATGTCATTTTTTAAAGAATTGCTCATCCTTTACTAATGGCACATCTAAATGTGTAATTTCTGGGCAGGTTAGAAACAAAGTTTGGGCATGGAAGTTTTTCTAGCCTTTGAATCTTTCAAAGTCAAATTCAACAACTTCTCTTTCTTTTGATCTCTTCTTAGTCTTTTGCCAAAAATATTCCAGAGTTGGTGACTGATCCATTT